TTTACTGACTTATTTAGTGGTGAACCAACTCTCCCCCGTCACCGCCGCCGCCATCGTCACCATTGACAACCACCCCCACCTTCTCCTCCTCACCCTCCTCAGACTGATCCTAATCAGTCTCCTATCCACCCTCGCCCTCGCCCTCACCGTCCCCCTCCTCCTTCGGCTCACCATCTGGCACCTCGAGCGTGAACATCAGTGGGCCTTCAACATAGCTGCCACCGCTCAACGTCCCCTCCAGCCTACGATCACAACCACCCCGGTCATAGCTGCCAACAGGGATTCCAATAATCCCACTCAAGTGTACTTTGAGTACATAAGGGAGCATCAAAATTAGTATCTGGGGTCTCATTTTGTCCGTAGTAGTTGGCTGGTTTTGTATTCTTGTCCTGGTTTTTTCAAGATATATCCTTTTCTGGCTATCTCGCATGCCTGCTGAGCGCAACACCTGCACCAGAAACAATGAGACTTCTAATCTGGATCCACGCCGTCGCCCTCTGGCTCCTAGGCACAACAATTCTCCAGAGGCTGAACCCCAAAGAGCACCCACCCCATATCCTTCTCACCTCCAAACCCTGGAAGAGCACTTCACCGCTGGAATAATAGAAATGCCAGTTCCCAGGCGTCCCATTTTAAGCTTTCCTCCTCAACAAGAATCCGATGACTCCTCCCTAGAGTTCCTTGATGAAGGCGGTTTCCGTTACCCGTTCCCCCCCTTTCTGCCAAACGTTACTTGTCGACCTTTCGTTATCCCAGGTCTTCCTGACTCATCCAGCAGTGACGCTGTAGTCCTGCACCAATTCCCTGGCCCCCTGGAAATTCCACCAGCGTTGGAAGCTATGACTGGATCCTACCACGTTGTTCCTGCACAGGTTTTTCCATCCTCATCACCTATGAATACCTCATCGTCCCCTAATCCTGACAGTCCCCTCACTGCATCAACTGATTCACCAAGTATGCCACCCCTCGCCTCAGATGTCTCAGACAATGGTAGCCTTGATCATGCTCCTAATCTACGATTACTAGCTGATGCCAGTGAATATGTCACGGCCACCAAAGGATACAGCAGCGATCCACAGGAGTTTCTAGTTTACAGTGACGACATAATCCAACGACCCTCTAACGACATCGCTCGATCCTGGAGATCCATTCCTTTTAACACCTCCACCCCTATTCAGGATGTCGATCCTCTAGAACGCGTACTCCCTCACTTCCCTGGAGCTTATGCCACCATGGTCACTCGACCTCCTATGGGAGTCCCCATCGATGGAAATCCTGCCTTCGGACTACGCTGCATATTGACGACCCCAGCCGACATACTTCGAGTTGCTGAACCTGTGGGGAATTGGAATCAATCGGACAAGGAGTGGGAGGAGGACACTTGGGAATATCTGCTGACACGGGACGACAACCTCTTGGAAAGCCTTTGGGCGTCATTACAGGATATCAAAGACCCTGGAGTTACCGATGAAGTCGATCGCTTCAGAGCTGTAGATGCTAAAATCGATTTACTCCTGGCAGCACGACAATCGGTAGGGGCCGAACTTATTCGCGCTCAACAGGAAATGGACCAATGTCGCGCTTGTCTCAAAGCAACCAACCTGGAGGAACGTCTAGAACAACATGAATTCTCCATTATCACTCCCCCTTCCAGCACAATGCCTCGCCGACTTCGCTTCTGTACCAAGTGCAAAACCAAAGGTCATCTTCAGAGTGAGTGTTGGCATTGGGTATGCTCTTCGTGCTGACTCCTACATCCTCAATATCCATTCCGCAACCCCACTACCATGGAACCTGGGCAAATACCCTGCCCCATCGAGGAGCCTGGATATTTACAAGAGCGTCGTGCCCAGTGGAAACTCTAATGACGAATCTAGAGAGGGGGGTAATGTTACAGTCTGA